GGTGATCCCCCTGCCTCTGTTTCAGTGGAAAGGTGAGAACGTGGAAAGCCCTTAGAACCAGGGTGTGACACACACACACACACGAGAGAGAGCGCACATGACGGCTCGGGCACGGGCATTATGTGAGCGCAGGTATGAGAGAGAACAGATGTCAGAGCACACCAAAGAGCACACATGTGCTGCGCTTTGAGGTTTACAAAGTGCCGCGCCTGCCGAGAAATCTGCATGGCAAGCTTTGGCGAGGTCTACAAAGTGCTGGGCCTGCCACGAAATCTGCACAGCGAGGTTCATGCTGCGGCGGCCACAAAATCTACACTTCGAGGTTTGCAAAGTGCTGTGCCTGCCACGAATCGGCACAGATGTTTGCGAAGTGCTGCGCAAGGGGTGCTTATGCTTCCCCTGCCACGAAATCCACACATCAACATTTACATCGCGCGCGTCTCGCAACAGAAACGCTTCCAAGTTCGTGATGCCAAAGTTTCTGCCAACCCCCGAAAACAAGCCGCATGTCCAAAGTTCATGATTCACTGCGCCTGCCACGAAATCAGAGCGCCAAAGACCAAGTCCTTTGCGCCACAAATCTACGCATCGAAGAGCGACCGTTCTGATCGACAAGAGCATCAAAACATGAGGATACTCGGATACCCTTGTGCCATTCTGTGCGCACCGCGAAAAGTGACCACCAACTTCGAACATATTATATATACGGCACCGCAACCAGGCGCAGTTGACGAAAGCACCCTCTTGGTGCCGGTGCCATAAGTTTGCATGAGCCTGTGCAGTCGAGATGCACTTCGACCATCTCGAGAGGCATGCATGTGCTGCCAATTGCGAGTTAGCCGCCGACGGATGTGAGCACCCTCGATCAACCTAACCCTTATACCGTAAGAACCCGTAACGTGTCCGCCTGTGTCCGCTCTGCTTGGGGAATCAGAATCAATGTTTCTTCTTGGACAACTCAGTGGCACAAGCGGTTCTGGGTGCCCAACTTCAGGTGAACCGACGCCCAGCCAAAGAGATCGAAGAGGTGGTGACTCATCTCTGAGACATGGACATGGACACCATGGACGCCTCTCGGCAAGTGCACCACGATACACAAATTGATTCGCGCACACATTTGAATAGAAGGTGGTGGCACGTCATGATGTTTTGAAGCTGCAGCGACACTCAGGAGATAGAGAGAGATCAGGAGAGGCACACGACAGACCAGAAAGACCATTACCCCGAAGACATCACCTTCCCGAACCGGAGCCAATGTACCGCAGTGGCGTGGATGCAGAGTTTCTCGAATATGAAGACCGAATTGCAGGGCATATCACATTTGGGGCTGTCCTGAGGGGATCCTTCGCCTCTGCGCTATGCAGCAACTTCCAGCCGAGATTTCATGGACTTTCGAGGCATGAAGACCGGTTGAAAACATGCAGTTTCCTCAAACATCTGAGTTCTTCAATGAAGCTTCCCCCGCGGTTGAGAGAGCGCGTCCTAGGTAGTGGCTGCTTGAGCTGCTACTTGCCCCTTGCTACTAGCTACTTAAGCTTTCTTCACTACTCTCCACTTCAAGAATAGCAATACTGTGGCCTTGGCTCAGCTTGACACAGCGGTTACACAGCTTGACACAGGCCACGAAGATCGATGGGAGTCATCCAGATCACCGAGCAGAGACCCGGGCCATTTGCCTGATAAACTGCGTCAACTCCGTTTTGCCTCAACCTTGATTCAGTGGGCAACCAATCTGAGGGAATACTCTACAGGCTTTGCTTTTTTTTGTTGGCCCTATCTTGCACCCACGTTTGCAGGTCACAGCCATTACAGTTATGGCTTCGATCCAGGTAGTTGGATGCCATCAAGGCAATCCGCACACGAGGTCTATGATCGTGGCCACTTGACAGAACTGTGGCTCAAAGCTGCAAATCCATGGAATCAGCTCTGATTCTTATAGATAAGCTGCCAAAAGCTGCTACTGGTCAGGTCCACCAATTCAAGGTCCGAGCATAACAGCTCCACCTTTTGAACCAGTGGATGACTTCAAGAGCAGCTCGGAATTGAAGAGACGTGCATGCAAGTGACACTAAGTGGTTGAGTTTGCAGACACTTGCAGAGGCCCTCGTTGTCCCGGTCCTTCTTTCACTTGAGGTTGGCTCAGAGGCGTTTTGGAAAGCGAGCGGGATGCTGTGCGTGAGGCGGCTGCGGGAGGTGATCATTTGTGATCATGCAGTGTTTGGACTTTCAGGCGTAGCGGCGTAGCGGTCCAGTGCTTTGGCTAGCATGCCGAGGTAGGCTTGTGCATGCAGGCACTTGCAGGCCACAGCGCCCCGCCCAATAGCACGGATTTCCCCACCCATCTAATACAAATGAAGAATTACACTTATTGGGTTGTGCTGAAGCAAGCAGTGCCAAAAGGAAAACACTAATTCCATGAACAGTGCAAAGTGCATCCACAAGCAGAGGTACAAATGCAGTTGACAGCATGTGAGCTGGGCAGTAGCTGCCAAGATATTTCAACTGGCCCTGCCTCTTCCTGCATAGGGCATGTGGTCAGATTCAAGATGCAAATCCCATGCAACTTCGTAAATCACGAAAGCTAGCTGTAGCTAGCTGGAGTCTGTCTTGCTTTAGCAAGGAGGGTGGGAGCCGAGGACCTGAGTGCAGATACCTGATTTTTCAGGCTTTAACCCCCCCCCCCCCGCGGGTTCAAGTCCACCCTTCTCCTCAGTACCTGC